AAAAAAGTAAGAATAAATAGTTATTCAATATAAATTTTAAATTTTATAAATAGTTATTCAAATTTTAAAATTTTTTTCATTAAAAAATTTTTTTGGTGATGATCAACAAATGTGCGCATTTTTTATCTAACACACGCGCCCGCACACAATTTCACACACTGGGTGGGGGAGTAAGCACTACTATTAAAATGATATTAGCTAATATATGTCAGTACCCTTAATTGTTTCTATGCAAAATTTCGACCAATGAGAAAATAGTGGACACATGACTTGGAATTAAAAAAATTTTTTTATGGACAATGAATTAAAAAATGACAAAGAAAATTATTTTTTATTTTAATTGAACTAATAATAGAAAAATGCATAAAAATATAAGTTAAAAAAATTGTCAGAGCACTTGCATGGGAGGAAATGCTTGGACCTGTTGTATGTGAAATTGAAATATTATGGAATGGGGTGAAATTCTGATCGGCTAATTTGAATTTCACATATGTAAATTTGAACTCCACATGTGAATTGCGAATTCGCATAATTTCATTTTCACGTACAACATAGATAAAAAATAATATTGAGTGGTAATCCATATTAATGATCTGCGGATGCTTCATTTAATTTTGTCATGACGTCGTTTATTATACCGATATTTTAATGTTAATATTGACAAATAGACCCGTAAACTGTCAAGGCTTCTTTCTTTTAACTCTTTACACATTGTTTTAGAATTGGTTTATGGGTTCCTTAATATTAACAGTATCACTAATTAAGTTCCTTTTTTAAGTAAATTTTTTTAACTTAATGCTATGTGATAATTTTTAATTGAAACCAATATAAAATAATGCGCATTTTAATATGCATAACACCTTTTATTAAGTTCAGAAAATTGATTAAAACTTTAGTTTTTGTTTGTCTAGAGATATTCAACATTTATTTGTGAAATGTTTTTGCAGAAAAATTAGGCGATGTAACATAATGCCGATCAATAACAAACTTTTTTTTAAAAAAAATAAGGATATATGTAAAAACTATATAAATAAAAATTGCATCAGAGCCTTCAAATAAAGAGATACAGACATGAAACTAAAGGAAATTATAGTAAATAGATTAAGCTTTTAGATTACAGAGAGTTTTTTTTCTTGCTAAATAAAAAATAAAATTTTTTATATATTCTAAAGAAATTGAAAAAAGATTGCTAATAGAAAAACTTTATAACCAAACGAGATAAGAAAAAAAGCTCTCTGTAACTTTGTTGTAGAAGAC